CTATTATTAAGAAACAAAGTGGATTTTTACAATAAAGTGCTCATTTGGCGTTTCAAGTATAAAACAACCACAGCCGTAAAAAGTATTTGTCTGCATATACTATTAAGTAGTGGAAAAAATTACTGAAAGATGTATGTATTATTAAACAGTAAGGTTACCTCATTAGAGGATTGCTTTATTAATGTAGGTTGACCTGGAAATAACTAGTTGACTTCGATGCAGCTCGTTACAGTTTCGAAAGATTTGGGTTTTGCAGAAAGTGTTTTAGAGATTTTGCAGGATGTTTGGAAGACAGAACAAAGTGATGGTTGATGAGGAATGACAGTAGGTTATAGGTGATAGGGAACTGTAGTTCAGCTATATTAGACACCAAAGTTACGAAGCGAGTTGGAAACGGTTGGAAACGGTTGCGAAGCAGTTATTAACTGTTAATAACACTTCATTATTCAGGTTCTTACACTTCATTAATTTCAGATCTCATGTTCAGGTAGTTAAACCTTACAATAACAGCAACATACAATAAACATACGACAACCACTTAATTCAAAGCTAACTAGTACATGAAAAAAGTGGAATTATACGACGAATGCACGTAGGGAAATGCCAAGTAACTAACTGAAGAGGGATAATTAAGCAGCAAAACAATAATGAAGTAAGCAGCAAGCAAATTCCTAACCCCGAAAGCTCTTAGTGACCAACTAAACGACTCCAATCTGTAAAAATACTGCGACTTTACAAACCACCCAACGTTTTCCAGAGAAAAATAGATCTCGAGTGTGTTCCATCTTCCTCTCCTCCCTCCTGGTTCTGCTCCGCTAGGAGTCGGCTTACTTTTGATGCTACTGGCTCATTTCCTCCTTTGCTTCCACTTAACTCTCAGATTTTTGTTCTTCCAGCAACATCTCGGACGGTCCTCAAGTATAAGCTGAACACTGCGTGATCCCCATTACCTCTATAACCCTTAGTGAATAACGGCCACAGACAGTTTCCCTAAATTTTTCATCCACTGCTCCAAAGCTCTTACCGTCGTCTGCCACACGTTCACAACCCATATCTTCATGCTTTTGCCTCCCACCGTATAACCAGCTTATTGATGTTAGCTACTGGATGTGACCTTCTTTACGCGAATTTAAGTAAAATAATCCCTTACTAACACTCCGGCGTTCGACAAGGTCCGTCGTTCAGTCTGCTTACTTCATCTGTATCCTTTCTTTATTTTTTTGTTAAGGTTTTAGTGCATCTAAAAGGCGTGGTTTCAAGGCTATTATTGTCTTATGCCTTTTACCAGTTAACTCAAAAACATGTTGCGCCAAATCGTTGAGTCTAAAAATCTGTGGTTTTCGGCAGTGGAATATACTCTTTCGATCTCATGCTAACAAGGAAATGCCGAAGTACTGCAGTTCTCACTTAAAGTAAATTTAACGTCTTTCGGTGAAGAAAAAATTCGAAATGTGGGTTTTAACTGTCATATACCTTCCTATACAGTCCTAAAAGCGAGCAGAATGCCCTAGCTTATCGCCCAAATGTATCTTATAGTGAGGACTCTATAACTCTAATCTAATTCTCAACCAGAAAATACGCGGCAACAAGTCAGTCTTTTCTAGAGAAAATGGTGGCGGTAATGACTCCTTTTCCTGCAGTTCTGCACTTTAATTTATCTGTAATCCTTTCTTTATTTCAAATTACGGACAAGCTGTAAAGATGAAGAGTATTACATTTTTAAGACAGTTAAAAAGTACTTAACGTACCAATATAAAGTGCAGTGATAACATATAAACGGTCCCGCAAGGAAGAATTACTTTGTACCTTGAAAATATTGATCTTAATCACAGGTGAAGAAGTCAACCAAATCAGTGACTTTCAGATACTGCAGTTTTTTCAAAGATTCGAGCATTAACTCTGCCGCCTCCTGTGTCAATTGTCAGCTGAAAATGAGAGACAACATGAATTACCTCGGTGTGCATTTTTTTTAATTGAAAAAGCTCTCTTACTTTTCTGACTGACAACTAAACGACTGCTAGACTTTTCAGCAGCCTCTGACTAAACTGGTTGCTGTGACTTTACCACCACACTGATGATAAACTAAATTAGTTATTAAAAACAATTTTTTTGACATTTTCTCTCCGTGAAAATTATTTTCACCTCATTGTTTTAAGTACTGCATTGTCTTTAACAAACCTCATCGTTTTCAGTGATGTCTGAATTTATCCAGGCAAAAGCGAGGGGCCGTTGAAGTCTCACACTATACGTGCCTGAAGTCACTTGTCCAATCCGCTAAAAAGTGCAATTTTGATAAAAAATAAAGTCATTTTTGCCCCTGAAAGTATTATAATATACCTGCAAATGTCAAAAAAAAGTGAGTTACTAAGCTTTGCTTTCAATCAACTCCTAACACTCTTTTTTCTAAAATGCTAGATACGGAAGATAAAGAACCTCTTCTTCGCCTTGCCTTCGTATTACCTCCATTCCTTGGGGTATACTCCCCCAATTTTGAATTTCTTTCAAAGGTTCACAAGCTACCAAAACCTTAATACAGACTGTAACAGATTTATACTAATAAAAATAAAGTTAGCATAGCGAGAAAACTATGAGTTTTTGCAAATACAGCCGTTGAAGCTCAGAAAGTCATAAATGTATTTCAAGACATAATAAGATCAAGACTGAAAAACTCTTTCACACGAGTTACTTCAAATTGTTTATCAGCACGTAATTCTAAAGCGTTGCTGGAACCAGCGTTCCGGGGAAAAAATTTTTATGGGAAAATACCTGCTTCCTATTCCACTTCTTCTTTGACAAATCGGCAGCAGATGCCTTTCCAATGAAATTTTTCTTGCTTAAGTCAACCATATGTCCCAAACCGCATTCGTAAAGATTTGTGTTAAGAGTTAACTAAAGAAAAACAAAAATTATTAAAGAAAAAAAGTCAAAAGCAGCATTGGCAGAGATGTACAGTGGCCACAAAAACGCACCTCTCTGCCCCAGAGTTTGAAACCATGTTCTATCCTCAATATGTTGTGAGTTACTTGACCAAAGTTTACAATACCGTAATTCTTCCCCGCTCTCATCAAAGCGTTGTAAATTGATAGGGAATCGGCCCTAAAAGTGGCAGCGTTTACAGCAGAGAACTTCTTTCAAAGAGAACGCGATAAACAAAACAATAATGCTACTGAAAAAATCCGTCAACGTAATTGTAGATCCTTTTTTAGAAAGTTTCCTGATGTAGAAGAACTTAAAAAAGAAATCATTTTTTGGCTCACGTTAAAGAACGAGCAGTTTGAGAGGTGACGCTTACGATCACAATAAAACCCATCTATCACTAAAATAAGCCAAAAAACTTTAAAGTTAACAGTCCAGCTTGCCTGTTATGGTAGAGTTCATATGAAAGCTGCCCAGTTGAAGAAGACGTTCTTGCAGCGATTACTGGGACCGTACTAATACGCACGATCCTGGTAGTGTGCTCAGGAAATGCTTTATCAGAAATATCTCCCTTAATCAATTCACGTAAAACCTGAAATTAAACCACTGTTTGCAAAAATATTAAAATAAAAATTAAACTGGTCATAGATTTATTAAATTGATCCAGCGCAAGGCTGAAATAATTAGCTGCTAAAATTTAACAAAAATAATTCAGAAATGAAGAAAATTCTGCCGAAAAAAACGCATACTTCACGACTGCTAGGGCCTACAAGAGCTAAAGTGGACAAATATTCGCTAACAGCAGAAACGTCCACATTCATTTTCATTTCCTCAGCAGCTCGTTGCAGCCAGAATAAATCTCGAGACTCTCTTTCTGGATCGGACAAAAGAATAAACTCGTCTCTTAAAGGAAGAAATCACTTATGATGACGCCGCGTGAGCACTCTTGATAGATATCCGGTGTTTTCATGTGCACGTATATGTCTATAGTAAGACAAAGTACCTGAACTGATCATGGTGGAAAACCTTCACTGGAGCTAACAAATTGCCCCTGCGGGTTAACATAAAACTTGAGGCTATGGCTCCTAAAGGAGGAACAGCAGTAGTCAGTACTTCTTCCAAAAATGCCTTGGCGTCAGGTCCACGCACCTGAATTTTTTGATTAGCACCAATAACTTCACTCGTTCACGTTCCTTCATACACACTTGCTCAAAGTAATAAACTTTCAAAAACAAACTTCTATCTTCCCCTTCCAGGTAAGATCAATAAGCCCACATTTGTTGGTCACCATCTGATACTCACGTATCATAGCTGGCAGTCGAGGCTCATCGTGGACAGCAAAAGACTGTGCAACCTAGAGGCTAAAGTAGTAAGGAACCTATCCAGTGATTACTTTGCCCTAAAACTTTTTAAATATTACCTCCCAACCATTCCGGAATGAAAAAGCAGCACCTTCTTTAGCCAAACGAGCGTAAATCCCACTAACACGTTCGGTTGGGCGACCTGCTAGTCTGTTAATGGCGGACCAGTTGTAGAACATTGAGTATGTTTCACGGCTTTTTTCACGAATAAATTCGCGAGTGGCCCACCGATCAAACCTTTCAATAACGTGCTCATTCAAACTTTCACAAACTGGGAACCAAAATTTAGGTTTTTCAAAGCTCAAATCAATCTGATATTTTATCTAAGTGACCCCACCTGTTGGCATCAGTATCGAAAAGTTCGGACGGAGGTTCCTCATCGATTATCCAATCAGCCAAGTATTTACCCATCCCACCACTACTCGATATACCATCAGAAAAGCCAGCCTGGAATATAATCACCATTTTGATAAATTTAAACATAAGTACAGTAAAGTTGTCATTACTAAACAGGTGAAGAAGCATGACGGATATGGCAAGACCTACCATTAACCAGTAATTCTGCTTATGACTAGTGGGACCAACTAACGGATATCCATCTGCAGTCATTGTAAAAGCTGACGCACTAGCAGAAACTTCTGCGCCATTCAAAGCTGGAATCAAATCGCAAGCGCTGTTGTACGCCCCACGCACTCTCTCGAAATTCACATCGATTTTTGCATCTGCAAGCAATTGCAAAGCAATAGAAAACATCTGTACGTAATGTACACCGATAATACAACATATTTTTTATTTCAGAGGAATGAAGCGGAACCAGACAAAAAAGTACTCCAATTTTTTTACAGATTAGGGTTGGGTTTCCCAAATGAATAGAACTTTTTGCTGGAACCGCTTACAGGTAAGGAGGTAAGAGAAAGAAGTACGGGGAAGCGAAGATGAAGAAAGAAAATGCAGTCATAAGACTTTCCCTTCTAAAAAATAAGTTACATGCAACTACGATAGAAGAAAATATGATCAGAGCTTTACAGTCTCCGATATCCCATTTTGGGCCCTATGCTGAAGAGTGAAGATCATAGCTTTAGAAGTGGTGTCTCTAGCGCGCAGTTTGGCTGTCATCGCTGTTGTCATAGTCAGCACCCTTTCGCACGAAACCTGTGCATATTTTTTAAGGATATAGTTATCAGAATTTCTAACTTTAAAAATCTCTAGATTTGGAATTCAGAGATCTACTGGTGTACTTTTTTACTTCTCTCTTTCTGTTATCACCCTTCTCCGTACTTTTCAAAAAATCCTCAGCTTTTTAAAACGGAAAGGTTTTTCATTTCTTTGTCACTAAAAATATTACAGCTAAATGTAGACTGATGCGCTCTAATTGGCCGGTCTACTCTAAAAAAGTTATTTTCAGTATGAATTCCAATGTAGCCATGCAAGCATGGTTACCATGTTCCACGCCTTCCCCTCTGCCGTCTATAATAAAAGCAATGATGCGGATGAAAACAAAGTTAAAGCGGCCTTCAAACAGCCTATCTACCGTAAATTTAAAAGGAGTTAAAATAGCGTAAAAATCAACAACGTAAACAATTTGCATAATACGTTTTCTATGAGGACGTGACATTTAAAATACTAGATAATAATCAACAAAAACAGTAGCTTTCTGCCTGACATAGTGACACACCGTAACTTAGCGACGTTCAGTAACTTTTTTAATTGTTACAACTGATGAATGCAGTTACAGTTTCTGTTGTCTTCTAACCTCATTTTCAGATTATCTTTCAGCCTCCGTCTTCTATTTTCTCGCAAAGCTACTTCTATGGAAGCGTTAAACGAAAGAAAAGAGTCGCAAACAAAAAATGGAGAAAAATGATTTGCTGCAGAAAGGCTATTTACAACTCGCTAGAAACCCTTTTACGGTTTAACAGCAATATTATATTCCTCTCTGCTTTGATCATTATCACTGATAAGCACTTCACCTTCCGGCATTTTAGTATGCCAGTCGTCGCGAATTACTACATCTGAGACATGGTTTTCAAAGCCGCCAAAAAACAGTTTGTCATCGAGACGACGTACATAAAACGTACTGTCATGATCAATTATGGCAGGAAGGTCAGTTATAGAACTGAGCTAAAAAAAACTGGTTAACAACAGTTTATAAATGGAAAAGAAATACCAAAAATTATGCGACAAACCCCGTCTAGAGGTCCAATCAAGGCATGCTGATGTTCAATATTAACAAGCGGAACATCAAGGTTGGTTAACTTTCCGACCTTGCTCGCCCACAACCCTAAACAATAACACTTATAACAGTGGTCTATTAAACAAAAGAACAGTGAAAGTTTCTAATCAGATATTTAAGAATTAAGGTACTTCTTTTCAAAAAGTAATACCAGCGGCATTTACAACGTGGCGCGCACGAAATTCACGTCCATCATCAAGCTGAACCAGCCATTCCCCCGTGGAAGGATCCTCTATCAAGTTAAAAGCCGGACATTGTTCAATGAGCTGTGCACCTTTGCTCTGTGCACCTTTCGCGAGAGCACGTGTTAGACCTTCGGGACTGGCGTAACCGTCTCCGGTAGTGTACAACGCTCCAAGAATTTTTGAAGTGTCTAGTATTGGAGCCATTGCGTTCACTTCGGCAGCATCAATAATAGAAGTTTTGCAAGCGTCACCCTTCTAAAGGTTTCCAAGGTAAGCTTGAATGGTAGGACTTTAAGAGAATCAGTAAAACAACCGTTATTACCAAACCTGGAAATAATCTCGGGCTACATAGCGCCGAAACTCATCCATCCGAGTTGCATTGGTACCTAATCTAATTGTGCCCGTTCTAACAAAGCCCACTTTCTAAATAAACTCAAATGCAAACTAAGTTCTGCGTGGTGTTCGTCAACTTAGAACGAATATTTGGCTAGGTGTAAAAAACCAAGAAAGTTGTCCATCTTTTAAAAATCATTGTCAATTAAATTTTCGTTTTACTAAATACATACTTCTCCCGTTTCTTCCTCTAATCGACTATACAAGTCCACAGAATAGGCTAGAATTGGTTTATATCTGTGTGCTGGATGACTGGCGCTAACAAAACCTGGCTGCAATAAAAGGCTTTAATTTGTTTATTTTTATTCAAAAATCTTTACAGGAAAATATTAACAACGTAAGAGAAGAAAATCTATTGGCATGTCAAAATTAAAAACGTTATTTACAATACTCATTGAGAGATTTTTAACCCTACCGCATTGTGTGTCGTTCCGGAAGCCAACTTCTCTTTTTCAAGGATGACAACATCTTTGATATTCCTCTTTGTCAAATGATACGCAACTGATGTGCCAGCAACACCACCACCAATAATTACAGCAAAAGCATTCTTTGTCGCTTCACTGGCTAACCTAAAGAATACCTATATATTACAAAGAAGCCTTCTAACTACTTTGGTTTCAATAGCAATATTCGAGTTTGGAACAGAAAATAAACTGTTGCCTGAAATAGACTTTGCGCAGGAAAACTAAGTTCATTGTGCATTTAAAAAAGCATGAGAAGTTAAACATGTTATGTACAAATTTACTACATAAAAAACTGTTCAAATAGGACGTCCAACTGATAGGAATTATCCCGACAAGGAACAAAAAGCAGCAACAAATATTGTTGTGCCAATTGCTGGGTTTTCAAAAAAAAAGTACGTCTGATAAATGTTGAAAGATGTTTGGAAACTTCTGAGCATTATCAATTGATTCCAGTTGTTTACATCTATTTCTAATTTTTATTTGCCCAAAACTGCTCTAAAAAATGACAATATATTTTTTAGATCCTCCTGTCCCTTACACGTCCCCTCGACAAAAGACAGCTTTTTTAAAATTTATCTATTAAAGTTTTCCACTTTTGACTTTGCTAAGACCCTCCTCCAAAAGTAAAGCAGCTTTCAGTGTTCTTGTAATGAAAATTATATGTAAACCAGGAAGTTTTTTTCAAATGTAGCAAAAGATTGATAAACTGCTGTCCTCTGACAGCATATGTGGTATTTTTGAAAACTTATGTTAAAAAAATTTCCAAATATCAAAGTGACTTCAGAACATGGATAACTATAAAGTTTAGGCTCGCTTTAACCAAATTAAACACTGATATCTGATGAAGTCGCTTACAGCTACAGCTTCTGCAACTACAAATAACTCAGCAGTTTAGAATTATGCAGTGCCAAGACTGAATTACCCAAGTTTTATGAATTATTTATCAGTTGCATAATCTAAAATACTTCAGGTTACTGCTTGAAAAACTTGAAACCTTTGTGCATTTACAGTCCAGAAATTCACTTAAAAGTCAAAAATTTTTTGGTTCATAGCGCCACTAAAATCTATAATTTCCCTCCGTAAGATATGTACTACATTTCCTATTTATAGCTTAAAAAAATTTTTTAATACTTCTCGTATCTTCGCAATATTTTTATACTGCTTATAAATGTTTATTTTCTTTTTTTTCTATCAGTTCCTAGTGGTGCTTTATATTTACAGTTAATAATTAATGACTGAAGGACTATAAAGCCTCTGAAATCCAGCAAACAATACACGAAAACAAAAATGGCATATTCTTTCTCATTTTTCGCTATTTGTATGTGTCAAAAAGTACATGCACGAAAGGGTTGCTGTTCCAGGAAACAATCAAGTACCTTTCTTGGATAATTCGTGGTAATCGTGGGTTCAGTGCTATATTTTTTGAGGTTCTCAGCATCATCTGACTACCCTGAAAAACAACTATTAAAGAAGCAAATTTTGGCCCGTAACTTCAGCCGTTTTCAACTTGAAGTATTAGGCGAAAAAGCGTAGCGATCCAAAATTGATGCGAAAAAAAATTAGCTGGTGAAAAAAACTCAATGCCGGTCTTTCATTCAAAAGGCAAAACAGAACTGCAAAATAAAGAAAGCTTCAAAACCTAATTTGGTCAACAACGCTCATTGAAATTTTTAGCTGCAAAAAAGCTAAACCAGCGTCCTAAGAAAAGCATTAAAAAGTGCTGCGAAGGCAACAGTAGATGTTGGAAGCTGATTCACAATTAAATTTTCTCCTTTATTGCACTGGAATGTTACAGTTTCCACATCTGTATGAATAAGGTTCTATGAAACAATATCAGTAAGTTGAAAAATCTAGAGTGTTACTTCTCATTCGTAGTTCACTTGTATTAAGATCAGCTTTTTTTTTTTTTTTTTTTTT